GTAAAAAATGCGAATTATGTTTTCTCTCAACAATATTTTAAGGAATTATTATAAAAGATTATTTTTTGTTGCCAGACAATACAATTACAAAAATGAATTATCTTGGTTGCATTTCAAGAACAAATCTTACACAGACACAAAATGTGTGTCTATTTATGTGTTCACAAAAGTGTTTGCCTTACATAGTGGATCACTTTGAAATTGTCTGTGAAACATGAGTTTCACAATTTCAAAGTGATCCAATTTTACTATGTAAGGTAAACCTTCATAGTGTATAATGATGATTGATTCCAAGTTTGTGGATGTATATACATTACACACATGTGAAATTAAAAATACAACCCCTCTTTTTCTCCAGATACACAGACATATACAGTATATACATATACATCTGTCTGTATAGAAAGAGGGGTTGTATTTCTAAATACAGTAGAGCGTCGATTATCTGAATCAATTGGGGACTGGGGTTGTTCGGAAAATCTATATTTCAGATAACCGATTTTGTACGAAAAAATATATTAATCTATCCCATGTTGAAATTTTTCTCTGTTGCGTGTCACTTTGCGTTGAATTTTTGTCGATGTTAAGCCTAACGAAGACTCATTCATTCATTCATGGGTGTTCTGTCCTAGGACAGGTCTGTGGAAAGCAGTCAAATTATAGAATTCTCCCTCTCCAACATTCTCTATTTCAGGCTTCCTTTTTTATTTCTTTATAAGTTTTGCCCAGTAAAACATCATTTATCAATACTTTTTTTTTCTTCCTCTTTGTTTCCTTGCATCAATTTTTCCTTCTAATGCCACTCGCATTAATCCTTCTCCTCACAATATATGACCTAGCCAGTTATTTTTTCTTCTTTGTATTGTTTTTAAAAGAGATCGCTGTTCCTGGACCAAATTTAAAACATCTTCATTCTTAACCTTTTCTGTCCACTTGATTTTCTCCATTCTTCGCCATAACCACATTTCATATGCTTCAAGGTAGTTTGTTTCCTTTTTCCTTAAGGTCCAAGTCTCTGCTCCATATAAAGTTATGCTCCAGGAAAAGCATTTTATTAACTTATTTTTTAAGTGTTTGGTTCATTTTTCCAATAAGATGGTTCTTCTTCTTATAAAAAGCCATTTTTCCAGCCCTGATTCATTCTTTGATTTCTTTTTCACATCTGTCATCTCCCTGAATAATGCTGCCAAGATACCTAAAATGTTGAACTTGCTCTATTTTGTTTCCATCAATTAGGATTTTCAAATCTTTGCTAATTAGCCTTCCAACTTTCATCACTTTTGTTTTAGCTGTGTTAATTTTCATTCCAAATTTTTTGCAAGTTTTGTTGAGTTTTGTTACCAAACATTGTAGAGTTTGTTCATTTGGTGCAAGTAAAGCAATATCATCTGCAAACCTAATACTTTGTATTAATTGGCCTCCAATTTTAATTTCGAGACTGTCCTCACTTATGGCTTCATTCATTAATTCCTCAAGATAAATGTTAAAAAGAGTAGGTGAAAGTGTACACCCTTGCCTGACTCCTTTTCCAATACTGCATGGTTTGCTTTCTCCAGTTTTTGTTCGGATAATGGCAGATTGATTCATATAAAGTGAAGCAATGAGTCTTCTATCTCTCCAATCTGTTCCTATTTTTCTTAAGATTTCCATTAGCTTTGTCCAGTTAACCATATCAAAAGCCTTTTCCATGTCAATAAAGCAAATGTACGTATCCTTATTAACCTCAATGTTTCTTTCACAGATTGTTCTCAAGAGGCCAATAGCATCCCTTGTTCCTTTTCTGAATCCAAATTGTTCTTCACATAGAAATGTTTCAGCCTTGTTGTAGAGTCTTCTGTTAATGATTTTAAGAAGGATTTTTGAGGCATGTGAAATTAAACTAATTGTTCTAAAATCACTACACTTTTTAGCTTTTGCTTTCTTTGGTATAGGTATCAAAATACTTTGAGCAAAGTCTTCAGGCCATTCTCCTGTTTTATATATGAGATTGCATAAGTCTGTTATTTTCTCGATTCCTTCCTTGCCTAACCCTTTTAGAAATTCAGCTGGTATTCCATCTACTCCTTCTGACTTTTTGTTTTTCAATTCTTTAATTGCCAATCCAACTTCATCTTTCATGATAATAGGTCCTCTTTCATCATTAGCTATTTGAGAAGATTTTTCCAATTTTAACTCTTTAGGTTTGGTGTTCTCTCCATAGAGATCTCCAATATATTCTTTCCAATGGCCCATTATATCAGTTGGGGTTAAAAGTGCTTTTCCATCTTTGTCTTCAATACTCAGAATTTGGTGGGTGCGATCATTTGTTAGTTCTTTGACTTTTTTGTATGATAGATCATATCTGCCTTTTTTGTTCAGTTCTTCGATTTCCTCACATTCCTTACTTAACCAAGCTTCTCTAGCTTTTCCAGTTTCACGCCTCAATTCATTATTTAGCTTCTTGTACATCATTCTCCCTTTTTCATTATTTATATTTTTCCAATTTCTTCTTTCATCCATTTTCTCAATCATTTCTTGAGTAACCCAAGGTTTTTTTATTCTAACACCATTTACATATCCAAGAAAATTTTCAGCCGATTCCTTTATTGTATCTTTAATTCTTTTCCAATTTTCGTTTGGGTCAAACTCACAGTCAAAGTCATATGGAAGTTCTTTTAATTTATATTCCAGGTTTTCTTTAAAATTTAATCCAGTATTTCCATTTAGCTTTTCCAAATTCCATCTTTTTATTCTTTTGGCTCTCAAAACTTTTTTCAATTTCATCACAATATCTGCAGTTAATAAGTTGTGATCAGAATCTGCATCTGCTCCTGGATATGTCTGAATTTTCTTGACTGCATTCCTAAAACGACTTTGAATAAGAATATAATCTATTTGATACCTTCCAATGTCTCCGGGCATTTTCCAAGTGTATAGTCGACGTTTGGATTGTTTGAACCATGTGTTTCCAACTATTAATTGATGCTTGGTAGCAAATTCAACTAGTCGTTCGCCTCTTTCATTCCTATTTCCTAGCCCAAACTTACCCACAATTTTTCCATCTCCTCCTTCTCCTACAGATGCATTCCAGTCTCCCATAACAATTAGGCATTTCTTAGTTTTATCATTTTCTATTATATCTTCAATTTGGTCATAAGTTTCTTCTACTTCTTCATCGTCATAGTCTCCAGTAGGCATGTATACTTGAAATATCATCATATCCATGGGATCGCTTTTTATTTCAATCATTAAAATTCTGTCACCTCTGCATTCAATTCTTTCAACTGAGTTTTTTACCTTCTCACCTAAAATAAACGCTACACCATTCTTTCCTTTAGTTCCACAAGAATAAATAACCCTGAATTCATCGCTAAAAAAATCACCGCTGTCTTCCCATCTGACTTCACTAAGCCCAAGAATATCCAAATTCTGCCTCTTCATTTCTCTCTTGACAGTTTCCAACTTACCTGGTCAAAGCATGGTTCTTACATTCCATGTTCCTATATGAATTCTTCCTATGGAGGTCTTCCTATGGGGGTTTTGCGTGGTGACGACCTGGGAAGCCCCATAACTTTCCCTGCCAGGCATGACACCTTTCTCTTGGAGATGAGTCCCATATTTGCCAGTACAATAAATAGGTTTTCTGCTTTCCATTAACAAGGGAGGTATAGCTGAGGTGGTTTCCCATTGCCTTCCTCACAGTTTCTGATCAGAGTTTTCCTTCTCTTATGCAGGTTGCCTACCAAGGCTTAAGAGTCCTGCCTACCCCGGCAATAGGCATATGGCAGCCTAAATCACCTTGACACAGCACATCAAGATTACAAAAATAATCTTCTTAACAAATTATCTCTATTAGCAAAATTTTACGAACTTTATTTTTTTTTTAACGAAGACTATTGTATCGTTAAAAATTATTTTAACGATACAATAATTAATTTGCCGACTGGAAATTTGCCGACTGGAATTCTTTCAGATAATCGACATTAATTTGCCGACTGGAATTCTTTCAGATAATCGACGCTCTACTGTAATATATTTTATAATATTGGGTAATATTTTTTGTCCCATTTGGCTACTTTATCATTTCATGCACCTATCAAAACTGGTTTCTCCCAGAAATGCATGTCTTCCATTCAAACAGTGTCAAAAGTATAGCAAGGCCTTTTCCCAAATCATTTTGTCAGCCAGATGAACATCCAACTAATAATATATACAGGGTCTTCCAAAAAGAATTATACCAATTTTCATATTAATCTATTATAATGATTTATGATTGCATTATTATTTCAAAAATTATAGTAATTTCTCAATACCTAAGTACTTTCCACTCGACCTGTAGATGTACAGTACTGTACATAGGTCTACATCAAAAGTATGTAAACTTTTTACTATTTTAATGTTGAATCCAGAAATCTGTTTACGGTATATATTTGAAGACAAAAATAATGTTGAATGAAGTTTTTATCTTACCCATTTCAGATGGCATATTAGTGGTGATTCTTATTTTTTTTTGCCATTACAACAATCTGTTCCATTACAAGATCAACTCTGTTGTAGAGACTGTTGTGTTCCTGAGGTGTGTAGAAAAGACGAATTATGAAGACATTTATTGTTTATTCTATTTTATTGGATATTTTTATGTTCCACTATATTTTTTTGGTGGCACATTATTAGGGGGAGTTTATTGAGGTTTGACTGTACTTCCAATTGTTGCAGCTTAAAATATGAAATTGAGATTACATAAGATGATGATAAGATTACTGTTGTTATCATAATTTTTCTTATTAAAGTGAATGTACAGTACAGTACATGTGATTCTAATGGAGAGTATTTTATTATCAGATGCTGGATTGCTAATGGTATATAGTCTGAAGAATTATTGTTAATGTTAATTAAAGTTTATACAGATAATGATATATATTATAAAATTATAAACTGGTCTTCTTGTATTTAATTTAGCTGCAACAAATCAAGTATTCTTAAGAAATGGCTAAAATTTAAAATTAATATTCTTTCTTTAGGCTGGACGTCTAGAAAATGTCATCGGTTGGTATCATAGTCATCCAGGATATGGTTGCTGGTTATCTGGTATTGATGTCAGTACACAAATGTTAAATCAACAATTTCAGGAACCATTTGTGGCTATAGTAGTGAGTGTTTTAAATATTATTATTATTATTAAACAGACATCAACATCCGTGAGCAAATTTATTTTACATTTAATTTCTTAAAATACATAAAAATGCATGGCTTGTAATAAAGAATAAACAAACATCATCTTATTTCATAAGTGCTGCGGCACTTATGAGATAACACTTGAAATACAAATATAAGAAGCACAGCAACTGTGATAAAAATATATAAATAAAGCTTGAAATTAATAGAATATGTAAAAGTTCACGTCACACCTTACACCTTGTAACAACACACCAGTGTGCTGCGGAACACTGCCATAGCCGAGTCACTCATTTTACCAGCATGTTGCAAAATCGAAACCCTATAACTTTTGTCTATACCTTTTTCCCAAAATAATGAAATCCAATTAAGTTATTTCATTGTCTCAAGATAAAACAAAAAAAAAAACACCCTGTATATACCGGGTGACAATAATTAACCCATACAAAGTTTGTTTGGGGAAGATGCGAAAAAAGAAATAATGAAAATACCAGTCTCAAATAATATGATTCACAGAAGAATAATTGATATGGCATGTGACATTGAAAGCAGACTAGAAGTAAACTTCACAATACATCTTTTGCTCTTCAAATTGACAAATCAACAGATATTAGTGGAAAAGCCATTTTACTTGGAAACATTTGATTTGTTAAAGAAAATAGAATAGTCAATGAATTTTTGTGTTGCAAAGAGTTACTAGAAAGAACGACTGGAAAAGCCATTTATAATGCTATCAATTCTTACCTTGAACGTTTAAATTCGAATTGGGAACAATGCGTGGAAATCTGCACTGATGGAGCTCCATCAATGACAGGCTCAGTCAAGGGATTTATGACATTTACAAAGCAACGAAACAGTGAGATTTATATAAACCACTGCTTCTTACATAGAGAAGTGCTTATTGCAAAAACATTACTTGCAGAATTAAAAGATGTTCTTACTAGCATTGTTAATATGGTAAATTACATAAAGGCAAGACTGTTAAAATCCCGAATTTTTAAACAACTATGTGCAATGATGGAAGCAAAATATGAAAGGTTAATTTTTGATACAGAAATCATGTGGCTTTATTGAGGAAAGGTGCTTTTTCATGTAGTGGAACTGAAAAAAGAATTGATAGTTTTCTTCGAACAAAAAAATATGTGCTTTTCAGAAAATCTTAAAAATGATATGTGGTGTGCCAAACTTGGATATTTAACGGACATATTTAATTTTTTGAACACTGTGAATATTACCATGCAAGGTGTACACGAAAACATCTTAACATCAACAGACAAACTATCAGCTTTCCACAAGAAGATCATTCTTTGGAAGAAGAGAGTAGAAGAAAATAATCTCAGTATGTTTCCATTTGTACATAATAATACCGATATTGTTTCCTTGATATCAGAACATTTAGCAATATTAGAAAACAACGTAAGAAAATATTTTTCTTCTCTTGACATGGACAAATATTACTGGGTTAGGAATCCATTTATTTCAAAAAATTTATATAATAATTCTGAATTGAATGTCTCAGAGGAAGAGGAGCTTATATCCTTGTCATCTGACCACTCCTTGAAAATCAAACATGCTAAAACGAATCTTGATGAATTCTGGATATCANACCTTCAAAGGAAACAATTTGCAAAACAGCTCTTTCCTGCTGAAAATCATCCTTCAACCAGTGAGCTGTTACACTTAAAAAAGGAGAATTGTTTGTAGTTGCTGTCCAAATATCAGCGGTTAAAGAAATATATTTTGTTTCTGTTAAACACAGAAACACTTCAGCTTTTTAAACAATGTCGAAGTTTCCATGCGTCAACAATTAACTGTTGAGATTTATTTTAGAAACAAAGGAAGAGATTGTTGATTTTGCGAGGATATTCAATCGTCTCTTGTTTACCTGACCCGAGGAAGATGGAAATACCAGGTGGAGAAAAATGGGGTTTTTTCCACATTATAATTAACTGTATAATTAACTCCAGGATCTCACACTATTAATGCAATAAATTATTAACACTAATCGGCCGATTAATCAGTATCAGCCAATAATGCATAGCCGATTAATTGGTAATCGGCCATTTTGCTTATCAGTGCATCCTTAATATTAACCTATCCCATGTTGAAATTTTTCTCTGTTGTGTGTCGCTTCGCATTGAATTTTTGTCGATGTTAAGCCTAACATAAATTTTTTAAAATAATAATCGTAGCTATTGTATTGTTAAAAATTATTTCTTTATTTTGTACAAACAAAATAAATATATTGAAAAATATAAAAACAGAAAAATTATATTTTGGAAGTTAATCTAGTATCAAAAACGTCCAATTCAGCACGACACAGTCTGACTAGAATGCTTTTGGTTGATCGGCTTTCGGATAAATGATGCTCTACTGTATATACTTTTTTGGATTCAGGTCTAAAAATGTGAAGATTTGCAAAAATTTTAGAGGGTCAAATTTGACATGATTTCAATACTTTCCTTGTTTTGTATACAGCCAGGAAAGTAAAACTTATATTTCTAATTATTATAAAATGGCAAAAAACTTAATTTTGAGGGTAGGGATGGGTTTTATAAAAAAATTGTAAATACAAATAATGAGTAAAATTATCAGTAAGAGTTTTTGGCCTATTCGATAGGCCATCGTCAGGTGAATTTTCTCATTTAACCTGAGGATGGCCTATCAAATAGGCCGAAAACATTATTTATATTTAAATAAATTGTCTCAGCAACAGGTATAGTTGAGTGCTCTATTAATTATTTGCTGAATGAATTTTGTTAATTATCATCAAATCTGACCTTACTGGATATGCACATGACCCTTTATCTCATAATAAACAACACAAAGTCCGATGCATATACAAAAATAATCAATGATTGCTTTAAATATCGGGCTATAATCTGGCTAATTAAATGATTGATATAAAGTAATTTGTCACTGGAGTAGACGTTAGGTGCCATCTCTTAACTAAATTAATAATTATAATTTAAATGAATAATTAAATAAATTTAGAACCTTCTGGAATAAAAGAACTGACCTGGGGTGGGGCTTGAACCCGCAACCTCCACTCGCCATGCAGTGCGCTTGCCAGTTGCACCACCAGACCCTGAGCAGGTCTTCACTTCCAGAGGTATATTAATTTAGATATAACTTTACTTGGTTAAATACAGCACTGGCTAGGGACGATTCCTACGTCCATGGCCTAAGAACATCTCCACAACTTCATCCAGTCCTCGAATGCACCCACAACAGGTGCCTTTTCTTATATTTCTGTGATACTAAAGGCACTCTTGATGGTTTCCTTCTACTAAAGCCTATTGTTTGCAAAGTCTGTCTTATTGTGCATTGGGGTATGCTTTGTGATGCACCTGCATTAAATTCAGCTGTAATTTGTCATGTAGTTGCCCTTTTGTTGCTGCAGACTTAGGCATGCTAATCGCCTTTCACCTTTCATTCACCAACCTTTTTCGATCAGAATTGTCCTAATTGCTTGAAGTTTTTTTCTCAACTGCCACTCTCTAAACACCCGAGATACTGTTGGGCGAGAAAATCTTAAAATAGTCATTATTTCAGAGATGCTGGCACCAGCTCTTCTTGCACCAACAATCATCCCTTGTTCTATGTCACTTAAATGTTTTGTCTTACCCATTTTGACATTAACTTTCGTGATAACTGCGTCGTCTTAAGCTGAGTGTTCCTTACATAAGCAACTCTGTGTTGATACATCACTCTATATCACTGATGGACTGGTTTACTTCAAATAAGGGATGTCTCTAATTTTTTGGCCACTCAGTGTATATATTAATGCTAACTATTCCCTCAACTATTAAAATACATGTGAAGAAAAGATTTCACTTTATCCATTGTCTAGTCAAGGTTAGAAACATAAAATGGCATGAAGGAATAATAGGGCTCAACGAGAATCAAATGATACTGTAATACACTTCTTGTCTAGACTTCTTAATGACTTGTGAGCACTAAGATTGGCTTTACTTTACCGCTAGACTTATTACACCACCACAGGAAAATAAAACAGTGTTTTTCTAAATCTAATTTGTGTTCCTGTGGTGGTGTAATAAGTCTAGCGGTAAAGTAAGGCCAATTTTAGTGCTCACAAGTAATCAAATGATAATAAAGACGATGCAAGCAATGCTAATAATACCTGCATCATCTGTGGAGAATTTGGGCGAAACAAAAGAATTGTGGTACAGATGTACTGTTTATGCTGCTTGGGCACATTATCAATGTAGTGGATTTGATTTGCCAGATCATTACATTTGTGATTACCATATTGAATAATAAAACTTTTTAAGTTTTTGCATACAAATTATTAATTTTGTGTATATTGTTTTCAGCATAGTTTGTGTTTTAAATTCTAAGTTCAAGCACTTTAAATAAAAGTTTTCTAGTTTTTGAACAATTATTTCTAACATTTCAGTCTTTTTTCATTGTTTTTATATGATGGTCCCCATTACCCCACATGGTTGGGTAATGGGGCTCAATGTAATGTTTTTTGTTTTTTATAATTAAAACAGTATGGAGAGGAATACTCAAGTTTTGACATATGCAAAATTATTCTTTCAATCACTATATCAGTGTATTTCTATTAATAGGACTTATCATACTGGTGTATAAGATTACATCCTCACAGTTGCACAGATTAAAATTGTTTTATTTTCAATTACCTGGACACATACAATTTGCGTTTCGGACTTGTACATCCCTCTTCAGCAGGTATTTGACAAACCAATTCTAAATAAAATTTAAACAAAATTTACCGACAATATTTTTTTTTTTACAAAAAATTCTTATGCCTACAATAATAAATTATAAAATTCCTACTATTTTAATGTTCTTTCTTTCTATTCCGTCTATCCTCCAATAATTCCTATTAATAGAAATACACTGATATAGTGATTGAAAGAATAATTTTGATTAAATTAAGGACATAAATGCATATTAATTTGACATATGCACTTTATTCCTTAGAGTACACTAT